CTCTCTCTCTCTCTCTCTCTCTCTCTCTCTCTCTCTCTCTTTCTCCTCCCTCTCTCCCTCTCTCCTTCTCTCCCTCTTTTTCTCTAAACACTATTCATCTCTTTAACTTGTGACCAAACCAAGATTCTGAAAGCTTTGGTTGAGATTCTTAGTGCAAAAAATTACTCTTGATAGGATGACCATCTTCCTGTGTGAATTAAAAGTGTAAAATACTGGATGAAGAATTATGTGAGAGTTAGATGAGACTTTTATCTCCCCCCTCTTTTTAACTGAAGATAGGCCAAACACAGGCCACTAAGATTCCAATTCAGTCTGATGTGGGGTTGGTGAAGACCTTTGCACCATTTGTTGAAGATGTTTTCTTTTTTTCCATTGTATAATTTTAGTTTCTTTGTCAAAAATTAACTGTTCATAGGTGTCTGGGTTGGTTTCTGTGTCTTTAATTCGATTCCTTTGGTCAACCTGTCTGTTTTTATGCCAATACCAAGCTGTTTTCATTACTGTAGCTCTATAATAGAGCTTGATGTCAGGGGTGCTGATGTCTTCAGAAGTTCTTTTATTATACAGCATTGTTTTAGCTACTGTGGGCTTTTTGTTTTTCCATATGAAATTGAGTGTTGTTCTTTCAAGGTCTGTGAAGAATTGTGTTGGGATTTTGCAGGGGATTAAATTGAATTTATAGATTGCTTGTGGTAGGATTTCCATGGAACGGGAGGAAGAGAGGGAGTGGAAACTGGAATTGGTATGTAAGATGAAAAAAGATAGTTTAAAAAAAAATAAAATTAAAAAAGATTCCAGTTCAGTTCATTGCCTCATAAAAGATTAGTGGAATGATTTACTCTTGTTGATCTGTTAAAAGTCAAATATTAACTCTGACAACTTCTGTTAATTTTCTCTCCCTCACATCTCCTGTACTCTGCCTGACCCTCCTTCAGAGACAGGCCATTACTAACTTTTCCTTTCCTTCTCCTAGGTCAATTTCCTGACGACAGGGAGAACAGTCTCTAAGTACTCTCCTGTCCCATATTGGCCTCTTCCTCATCATGTCTGTCCTCCCACATGAGCAAGATCCTACTCTGGTCAGCAATACGGTTCAGTGAACCCTTACACATGATCTCACAATGTGAACTGGATTCCTGGGACCCACACAATGTCAAAGGAGAAATGACAGTGCCCAGAAGGTGGTGCAGCCAAATCTGATGTGAAGAACAGAAGTCATAAAAGCCCGCACAGCTGCTCGACAAATACCCAGCAAAGCTGAGTCATATGATCACCATTGTGACCACCTTTCACTTTCAGTTTTGATCTTCCCATGTTGCATGCTTGGAAGGCTATCAACATTTGCACAACTTGGAGATATTGGATTGATGGAAAATTTCTTATGAATCATTTATGCCTTCCCCCAGGAGTACTGCTTCTAAAGTTCCTCAGGATAGTCCTGAGCATACTATCCCTCCCATGTTTAAGGGAGTTATCCTTATCTTGTTGACAGTCTTTCTTGGGCCCTGGAGGGCATGAGAAACATAAAGATGCCAAAGATCTCTCATTTATTTGGCTCTGAGATATTCTTGAAACATCTGCCTTTGTATTTACTCAGGAACAAGAAAATCAGGACAAATTAAACTTAAAAAGGGCAACAAGATATAGTGGACTAGAGGAGTTGGCAGCAGATCAGATTGCAAGTCTCTTTCTACTATACACGCAGGTGATTATGTTACATATACAGCAACAAAGTTAGATTAGCTGGTAATCTAACTTGGTATTAGGGTAGTTACCTCTGCCCTACATAGAGGCTTACATTGATGGGCAAAAAATGGTGTGGAAAAATGACAAAAGAATGAGATATTAGGACATCCCTTTTTAGAAAACTTGATGTCATATGACTAAGGAACAAAAGAATGCTAGGATTAAACATATGAATAGTTTCTATAAAGATATAAAGTATAAATATAGTATTATGCCAGAAATTGAATTACAACTGCAGAAGCTTTGGCCTGAGGATGTTTTTTTGGGCCTTTTACCAACTGGCACTCTGAACACTAAGAGTTAATAATAATGTGGGCCACTAGCAGTGAAACCAGGACTTAGTCCTACTGCTTGTACTGGCTTTTTGGAACCTACTCTTTCGAAGGATATCTTGCTCAGCCTAGATGTAGTGGGGAGGGCCTTGGTCCTGCCTCAAAGCAATGTCCTAGACTTTATTGACTCTGCATGGGAAGTCTTGCCCTCACTGACTGAACTGGGAGTGGGATAGGGGGAAAGGAGCGGGAGGAAGGGGGGGGAGTGGGAACTGGGATTGGTATGTAAAATGAGAAAAGATAGTTTAAAAAGTTAATAATATATTACTTGGGACATGGAAGTCTGCCCAGGCTGACTTGGAGTATTTCTTTCTGCCTGGAGTCCTTGAAGCTATAAGAGTTGTCTAGAAATTGGGTTATAGGGTTGGTGAGAAAAGAATTACTGTAAAAGATAACTCTGTCCTGTCATGGTTTATCAAAGATGACTAAAAGAAATGCAAGAAGAAGCTAAACATGTGTCAGAGGACAGAAATGATATGATCTATGTTTTAGAACAACATAAATCTATTTCCTCCTTACTAAGTTCTGTGTAAATAAAGAAGCACTCTGACTGCCAGTCACTTAGGTTACAAGATTCTCCTGACAACCATGCCTGCCTCACTTCTTCCCTCACCTACTTCTTGCCTCCTCTCTGGAACCTGTCAACTGCCAGGTCTACCCCTCAGCAAGAAAGATCAGAAAGTAGTGTTTTCCCTTCCATCACGAGTTATTTTCCTCGCCTTTCAGTGACTCATCTTGTTTGTACAGCATGCTAAGGTCTAAAGAGTGGCACATATGTCACCTCCCTTCAATTCAGAATGCCTTGTCACTTGTAAAAAGCAATGTGTTTGTCTGAAAAGAAAATGCAGCTACTGGCTCCAGGATGTAAAGGTCTTAGCTCTAACTAAACCTTTCAAGGAAACAATAACTTCTATGCTTGAAGAGGAAAACTGCTCAGTGAGAAGTTTTCCTACTTGGAAAAAGTCTTTCACATCACTAACTCTTGCAGATGGAAGTTGGAGACAATAAAGTTTGTTTTTTACAGGGTTGACTTGGTCCCTCTTTTCAGTGGAGCAGTTCACAGTGAACTTTAGATTCAGTGCCAAATTACGGTTGTCATAATCACCATGTCTCCAACAGCTCCCTTAACGTTTCCATCAATTTCTATGTTGTGTTATCTATTCTGTTTTGAACTTATCTGTCCATCCCGCTTCCCACCTATTCCTCCACTTACTTGTCTGCTTGAGGCCAGGTGGCTGCTCCAGACAGAAGTGCAGGGAGAGTGTGATCCTTCTTGGAGGAGGCAAGGCTGCAGACTGTCAGCAACAGTACAGACAGGGTGATTTATAGGAGGGCAGGAGCTAAATCTATTTGAGCAGGGCAATCCTCCAAGTCCTCCTTCTTTCTGGGAGGAGTTTACATCATAAGTTGTGTCTCTAGGGATTGCAGAGTCCAGTTTATCAGTTGCACATTAAAAAAAATTAAGAATCTATTGTTTTGGAGTTTGAGTGAAAGCCAAGGACAGGCAGGTCAGAGACCTTAGTAGCTTTAAGGAAGAGTGAGCTAGATAAGAGAAGAAAGTCATACTTTCTGAATCAGAGGCAGAAACTCAGGCAGGTGCAGGGGAAATGGTTCAGTGGATAAAGCACTGGCTCTGCAAAGATGAGTATGAGTGTTCACAGCCTCAGACTCCATATTATGTCAGGCAGGCACATTGGGTGTCTCTGATCCCAGTCCACAAGAGAGACAGCTAGGAACACACTACCTAGCTAACTTAGCCAACGTTGTTTAGCTCCAGCTTCAGTGAGAATCCCTGCTTAGTATAGGAAGTGGAAAGTATTTAAAGACTACAAATTGCAGTATTAGACCTTCATACACATATGCCCACACATTCATGTGCCTTCTTCCACTTAAGTGTGTGCGTGAGTGCACACACACACACACACACACACACACACAC